TAATTGCCCAGGACAGAAGTGTTGCTTAGTTGAGCTGGGGCAGTGATATTTTGAATGGAATGAGGAATCAGTTGTCAGGGCCATTTTAGAAGTGTTAAAGCTAAAACATGGAGACAGACTGGATGTAAGGACTCTGGAGAAAAAGAGAATGACTCTCATGATTTTTACCTCTCACAGCTAGAAATTTTAGTACCAATAAATAAATAGGAGAGTTAGGAATAATAGTACAACTTACTTTTAGCTCTTTGTTTCATGTTGCTTTATTTGTGTTTTGGTTTGCATGTAGGGAAAAAATAATGAAATAAAAATTTTCATATATCTTGTTTGTATTGTGGGCCACATAGGAGGAGGAGGACATATTGAGCATTTTTAAGACTATATAAAAAACTGATAATTCTGTTACATGTTGTTCTATAAATGTCAATACAGATTAAAATGGTGAGCAAAAGAAACCAGTCCCAGAAGTATATACTGATGTATACTTTACAAATTGATTTTACTTACATGAAGATAAAACTTAAGCAAACATATTCTATGCCGATAGAAGGCAGAGTAGTTGTCACTCTTGTTGGGGAGGCTGAAAGAGTTTGAGGAAAGATGCCAAAGTGCTGGTAATGTTCTTTATTTTTAATTGAGTGATGGTGTCATGATGAATTCAGTTTATAAAAATTCAACAAGCTAGACGGTTACAATCTGTCAACTTTTCTTCCTGTATTTTCTCCTTCAGTTAAAATATTTACATTTAAAAATATATATATATTTTTAAGATTCATGCATTTACAGTGGTACTGGTCATCAGTATTCTAGGGTTTAGGCGGCAATTCAGTTAGCTTAGAACATGAGTATTGAAAGGTTAGCAATCCTAAAGATGCCATAAATTTTTCATGTTTAATTGCTGTTATCACTAAATCGTTAATGCTCCAAAAGAGTCACCACATTTTGAATAGTATTAAGAGACATTTCTTTCACCAAATAATTATTAGTTTTGGTCTTCATTGTGGCATTTCTAGTTTGGTAATAATTGACGTGTAACATTTGAATATCATCAGCCCATCACCTTAGAAAGGTTGCAAACCAAGGTGCACACCCACATTTGCTTTATTCTTGAATTTGTCTTCATACAACACTTGAAAATGTACTTAGTGGCTAGAGAGGAACAGAAGTGACTAAGTGGATTGTCCCTAATCTTGTCTACAGGCATAATAATGCCTGCACAGAAGGCCAAGAAGCCTGTTAATGTCTTCAAGCCACAATGTTTCTGTGGGTGCTATTATACTATTGTTCTTTAGTTTGTTCTGATATTAGTCTTAATTATGCTTTAAGCCTTTGTTTTTCATATGTGTGTAAAAGAATCCCCTGATTAAGTTGTTGAAAATGCAGATTTTCAAGCCCATGCTGAAGAATAAGATTGTAGAGGACTGAATTTCAATGTTTTTATTGTGGTGCCCAGAATCTAATCCAGGGTCTTGGGCATCCTAGTCAAGTGCTTGACCACTGAGCTGCATCCTCAGCCCCCAATTTGCATTTTTTAAAAAAAGTTTTATTTGTTCTTTTTAGTTATACATAACAATAGAGTCTATTTTGACATATTTATACAAACATGGAGTATATCTCAATTTTCATTTTTCAAGCATTGCAGATGATTCTGGGAAGGTAATTCAGTAGCCTGAATTGTGAGAAGCTCTGTATTTAGCACACCATCACTGGGTCATAGCTATTCAGAATGCTGGTATTTTGACTATGCATTTGAGGGCAGTTCTCACTTGGGGATTTTTTGTTGTGATTGTTTTTATTTATTATAAGACTGGTAGTACATGACTGGTCATCCATATTACAGAGTTTAAGTTACTGAGTGTGGTGGAATTGAGAAAGCAAATGAAGATTATTTAAAAGAGTGTAACTAAGAGTTCGAAGCTTTCACTAATTCCTATCATGAATCACAAAATGTATTATTTGGGCAAAGCTGAAATGACAGATCGACCTGTTATTACTTTGGGCAGGCACTCCTTAAATTACTGAAGTTTATGAGTAAATTTTACAACCCTGGAATTCTGAAGCTATTTCTGGTGCATGTAGTTTCATGTCATCTTTATGGGAATAAAAAAGATCTGCATCCCACACCCCCATCATTTTTGTTTGTGAAGGTTTAGATAAAAGAATGAGATGTAAGAGATTCTGTCCACACATTACCTCTTTGCTTCACCACTGTTTTTCTGGAAATAGTCAAGGTGAGGCCCAGTTAGTATCTCAATAACCACTTGCCCCTTAGGCATTAATTCACAAAGCCACATAGTAAATATGTAGGAGGAAAAAAATCATTTTCTAGATTTGAGTACTTCTTCTTCGTCTTCTTCTTCTTTTTTCCTTAATACATTTCTAGGAACTTATCTAAAGCACTGGGCTGAGTATTTCCTGTCAAGTGGACTTTCCTTCTTCAAAACTTCTAATTCTTTTTGTGACCTTGCCAATGATGATTATAGATTAGACAGAGAAAGTGAGCTCAGATATCTATTACCATCATCTATTTTTAGACTAGGCTTTTAAAACTGCTTTTCATCCTGTAGTGTTGACCATGGCTACAGTTTTGCTTCTTAGTTTGCAAAGGTTAGGATTGGCCGAGATTGCTATATCGAGTTTGCAGCTATGAGTGCTTCTCCAAACCTCTGTCACCCTCTGACATCTTAACTTTAAGGTCTCTTGCTGAAGAAGCAACAGGAAAAATTAGAAAAACTGTCTCTCTTGACCATTATTTTAGGATACTGACTTTATTTGAAAATAAAAATAAATGAGTAAAAAATGATGGCGTTAAACTGGATTCCAATTTTTTAAAAAGTCTGTTGATGTTTTGACAGATAAACATGCTTCAGGTATCTTCTTTTTTATGGTCTTTATCATTTTGATAGGTTTAGGATGTGTTACAGTATATCCCCATTGAGAGTCCTAAGCTGGCTGAGAAGATAGTTTTATCATGGATTGACACATGTCCCTTTATTTTGCTGCTATTTTTCCTATCCGGTTCCTTCCAAGGAACTCTTTGCTTCCCCTTCTTTGTGTGGTCTAAAAAACCCTGTCCTCCTTCTTCCTCAGAGATTCAAATAAGCATCAAGCCTCAAGGGGCAATTGCCCCACCTACTATTTGACCTAATTTGTATGTAATGGTCTGAGTGACTGAGCTACTAGTCATGGGGTAGTGTATCTGCTTGTTTCCCATCACCTTGCTTTTAAAATTTGCATTTGACTCACTTTCATAGTCCAAATTTGCAGGTTAGGGCTCAACTCCTTATCAAAGTCAAATTACTTTTTGATGGACAGTTTCCTAGCGTTTAGAGAGCACTTATTTGTTGAAGGAATGGCATACCTACCCTGCCTGCAGAGTTTTAATATTCTAAATGGAATTTTCTTGCCTTTGATTTTTCCTAATATTTCTGGGAAAGTGAGAAAGAACTAGCCCCATGGCATGGAGGGGCTGTATATAATTTTTCTTACGTTTAATCTGAAGTATTAATTAAATATCTAAAATTACGTATATTTACTTGTACTCCAGAAGGGAAAACATGGTCTTTTTTTATAATCTTCTGCCATCTGCCATTCTAAATGTGTAGTTTTATTTCTGGTGCAGTCCTACTGCACCAGCTGGAGATGTTACAGAAACACGGCCAAGAAAAAGGAGCAACCATCTCCTAGTGGCAGATATAGAAGAATTTCTTTTTGGCCCATTTCCCCCAACCATCCTTCTTTTTGTTTTATAGTTTGTCTTTCATGGTCCTTTAGAGAAATATAAGCATCAAGTTAGAAACTGAAACAACTGCCTATTTCTCTAAAATATCAAACGTGTGACTAGATATGGCCCATACCAAAGTCAGACTACTTACAAACGAAGATTCCTAGTTCCACTGTAGGTGTGTTGATTATGGCTCTTGGGGGAGGAGGGTCAGGACTCTGTGTTTTCACCAGGCAAAGTGGTTCTCACTTTGGAGACCCTTGACCAATGAGCTCCAGACTGGAAAATTTAATAAATGACAGTTTTGAATGCTGGTATTCCATTTGCAGATATTCCTACTTTCATTTTTTTTAAATGCACAATTTAAAAGAATCTGATGACTATATAGAAGAACTATGAGTAGTATTTTAAAAATTAAGTGAAGGGCATTGATTTTCTTACTAGATGGCCATAGTTGTTGAAGCACAAGGTATATTAAAAATAAAATTTTACTTTGAGAACTAATAATTCGGAAGCCATTATTTCTGTTTTTCCTTTGCTTTCACTTCTTGTGTTTTATTTGTGTGAACCTAGGTACTACTTTCTCTCTCCCTCTGTCACCTCTTTTGCTCATTTTCTTCTTATTTTCTCTCCCTTCTCTCCTTTTCTCCAAAACTCCATGTGCAGCTCCTTATTCCATAGCAATCCATACCTCCTGATCTCCTTGTTCACCAGGAGCAAGATGTCTTCCAAAGAACATTGCTGAAGTCACATGACTCTAGCAAGTTGAAGATCTTGCTCTGGTACTTAGTAGCTGTGTGACGTGGTTATATTGTACATCTCTCAGTTCTTGTTGCTTCAATACTAAAGTAAAGTACTTCCCTTACAGCAGTCCTGTGGAGTTTAAATAGATTAAAGTATGCACAGAGCTTAACACAGCTTCTAGTAGCCATCCCTTAGTTATTGGTTTTTGCGCTTATTAATTAAAATGACCTTGTAAGAAAGAATGTGTTAAACAAAAAAGTCAAGTCCTTGAGTTAGGAGACCTTCACTATTACTACAATTGCTTTCCATTGCTAGATCCTGAAGATAGGATCCTTGCCCCCAAGGTGTTTATAGTCTTGTAGGAAAAGATAGATGCATCATTCCGCCCATAAACTATAGTGTGTACCATGCTGTAAGATGGTAAAGGATTTGGTGGAATCACTGAAGAAAGAATGTGGCAAGATATATTAATAACAACAAGTTATGAACGAAGAATTTCATTTTTGTTTCCTCATTTGTGTTAACTGCCCCGTAGTTGACACTCCAGATCCCTACGTGGAACTTTTCATCTCTACGACCCCTGATGGCAGGAAGAGAACAAGACACTTCAATAATGACATCAACCCTGTGTGGAATGAGACCTTTGAATTTATTTTGGATCCTAATCAGGAAAATATTTTGGAGGTAGGTAAATCATCTGGGGGTTCTTAGAAGGCCATCCTTCATGTAGAGAGACATGCTTCAGTGTTCTCCTGTTCCCTTCTTTAGCCTCAGTTAAGTGATGGGACTCAAGCTGGCAGCAGGGTAGACCACCTTCTAGATGTGCCATCAAGTCTTATGAGCATCCAGTGGGGGAAATTCAAGATGCTGAATGAGGGTGGGGAGACTTCTATCCTTCTCCCATACTTGGGAGAAAATTTATTTTCTGTTATCAGGAAGGGAATTCTTTTGTACAACAGAATAAAGATATTTCAATAGCCTTTAAAATAAGATAAAATAGATTTTCCACCAAAGAAAATTATGTTGATTTTTAAAAAATGTTTGTTCCTTTCTCATTTCAAAAGAGGGAATTAAGTTTCATTTTTGAAAACATTACAATTTAATGGAACAACTAGGAATATATAAAAAAATCTTTGTTATTTTATCAGAAAATATAGTATTCAGAAGAAGAAGAAAGTATTGTTAAAAGTTAATCTTGAGGACCTCGGGGGACTGGGGGCATGGCTCAGTGATAGAGGTTTTGCCTCGCATGGGATGGGCCAGGGCTCGGGTTCAATCCCTAGAACTGGAAAAGAAAGAGAGGAGGACCTCAAGGGACAGTTAACTGTCATTTGAAAACTTTAATTTCCTATAAACATCAGTAGAGATTTTAGACATAATTTCCAAAGATTCCCGGGAAACTATGTGTTCTATCTTTTGTTTTATAGGTCACGTTAATGGATGCCAATTATGTCATGGATGAAACTCTAGGAACAGCAACATTTCCTATATCTTCCATGAAAGTGGGAGAGAAAAAAGAAGTTCCTTTTATTTTCAACCAAGTATGTAGTGCAGCAGAATTATTTTTAAACCTAATGTCAGATAAAAAAAATCTATTTATTTTAGAAATCTGGGTTAGTGCTTTTAAAATTGTATTTATTTGTTTATAGAATTTTTAGGTTTTTTTTTTTAAACTTTTTAGTTCCTGTCCTAAACTTTTCTTATTCTGATACTTATAAATGTTGGTTGAGGTACTACTCTAAATGCTACTGAGACATTATTATGGTTTGGCTATGGAATTCCCCACAAAGGCTCATACATTATTGAGGGCTTGGTCCCTAATGCAGCAATGTCCAGAAATGGGAATTTGGGGATGTATTTGGATCATGAGTGCTGTGACATCTTTAATGGATGAATCCACTGAGGGATTCATTGTTGAATGGATTATTGGGAGGTGGTAGAAGCTACAGGAGGTAGGACCTAGTTGGAGGGAGTGGATACTTGGGGGTGTGTTCTTGGGGACTCTATCTTGTCCAGGCCCTTTCCTCTCTCTCTACTTCTTGGCTGCCATCATGTGAGAAGCTTTCCTCTGCCATAGCCCTCTGCCATGATGTTCTGCCTCTCAGGCCCAAAGCATTGGAACTGGCAGAGCATGGACTAAAACCTCTTTGCTCCTTTAAGTTGTTTTCTCAGATGTTTTATAACAGCAATGAAAACCTAACATAGGCATTAATCTCTTTGCTTGTTCAAACAATAACATCAAGATTAAGCAATATTTTGAACTACATCTCTGGGCCTATGCAAATCATTTGGGATGATAAAGGGAGGTACAAAATTTGAGAGAAATAACAATGAGTCAAAGAGAGAGAGAGAGGAAGAAAGAGAGGAAGGAGGGGAGAATGACTAAGAACAAGTAGCAAACTCAAAGAAAAATGTTGGAAAACCCAAACTCTTCTAAAATTACTTATTACTATATTATATGTGTATTTACTATTATTATAAACACACATAAATTTGCTATTTACATATATTACAACAAAGTAATCCTATCTGGAGGAATAGTTCTATCTCAAATAATTCTAAAATAATTAGGGCTAAAGCAGTGAAGCATCAGAATGGATGATGTTCCAGATTATTGTTATCTTTGTATTTACAGGTTTGCTAGATTTTTAAAATTTTTATAGTTATTTATGAATAATAAAAACTCAGGATAATTATTTATACAGAAAAAACTCACTGGGTTTTGAATTCTATCAGAAACTAACTTGGGAGTTTATAGTGAGAAATGAAACTTGTGGGTAGACCAGCATGTGGAATGTGAAAGGCTGGTGAACATGTCGAGGTCTCTTGTTGGAAGAGACACTGGCTTTGGTCAGCCTTGGACTGACTGTGGGTGCTTCATCCACTCGGCAAAACCTGCCTGTCCCTTCACTCTCATCTCCTCCATGTTGCTTCCTGTTACCACACCAGGTGGCCCATCCCCACTTCATTCCCCATGGTAATTATCTGTGGTGTTCACTGGGACTCAAGTTTCCATCTTCCTGCTGTAAATTAACATCCGATAGGTCAGGAAACCTGAAAGGCTGCGTACACATGCCTAGAGTTAATACATGGCTTATGCTTATGGAATAAATGGGGACCTATTGAGGAACCACCTGAAGCCCAGAGGGGTCTTCCCTCACCCTGCAGGCTGGTCACCCAGGTACTTTGAGGACATGCTACTACTCTACCTTTCGGTAATTCCTGTGCATTGCCAAGAGGTACACTCCTCACACTCCTGCTGTCACTTTTAAAGCCATTTCATTGACTTATTTCATAAACATTTGGTAAAGACCTCCCATGTACCCTCCATTGTGTTTGTGCAAGGAATGGAAACAACAGTGTATAGGAAGTTCTTCCTTTAGTTGTCCTCATCTGGGGTGGAAGTAAAAGTAAGGGTTGAAATGAGAAGTCCCCGAGAGGAGGCCCACCACAAGTGGTAAAAACAATTTACCAAGCAGTGAAATAGATATCGGTAAGGTGTGTATAGAGTGCAGTGAGGAAACAGAAAAAGAAAGAGCATGCAGTGTGGGGAGGCCCAGGGTGGCTGCATATTAGTGGATGATTTTGAACAGGTTAAACAGGGAACCTAAAGGTTAACACTTTAATCCGGCCTATTTGTTTAAATCCCATCTCTGTCACTCATCCGGTTATTAGTTAACTCCTCTGTACCTCACTTACTCATCTGTAAAATGGAGATAATATCTTATAGGGGAGTCATTACTAAAATTGTTATTTAATAGTCATTAAATAAGTTAAATCTATTTAATGTAATATATACATGTAATGATATATGAATATTAAATATGAATGTAATTATAATTTGATAAAATATATTATGTGAAATATAACTATATATTTTATTTTATTTTTTTTATTTTGACCACTCTTTTTTTTCCAAGTCACCAAAAAATATGGAACTCTTCACAAATTTGCATGTCACCTTTGCACAGACTATATACTTTTAAATAGTTATATATTAAATATGTAGTCATATATAATCCCTTCCTAGGTTTATTTAGCACTGGTCACTATCACATTAGAAGAAGTATCTTTTACTTACTGAGCTTGCTTTTCATCTATTTCACTAAACAGAATGTTAGTTCCATGACAACAGGGATTCTTACCTGTTCACTTCATGCCTATGGAGTGTCTGCCAAATATTGGATGCTTAATAGTGTTTGTAAAATACATGAATGAATGTGCTTTCATCATTCTCACTGCACACATTGCCCATACTATACATTTGGCACTTAAAATTATCATCCATAAGCCCTGAACACTACTTAATGATATGCTAAGTGTTTGGGAGTCCACTATTTCTGCAACTTGTTCTTAAATGCATCCAAAATGCAAGATGGATTGATGAGTGACTAGATGGAGATACAGGCACAAGCAAATAGAGCAAAATGTTAATAGCAGGATGTACATGTATTTTATTTAGAGACAGGGTCTCCCTGAGTTGCTTAGTGCCATGCTTTTGCTGAGGCTGGCTTTGGACTTGTAATCCTCCTGCCTCAGCTGCCTGAGCCGCTGGGATTACAAGTGTGTACTACCGTGCTCATTATATATTAAATGTTTATAATAACTGATTACAATATATAAATCCTATATATGCTATAAGCATACATACATATAGTGCTTAGAACAGTGCCTGGCACAGTACATATTAAGTACTACATAAATGCTTTTTGCTTTTCTTTACTGTTATTATACCTTGAGAAAAGAATAGGATTGCAGCAGGAAGAGAAGTAGTTATGAGCATTCCAGTCAGAAGAAATTGCAAAAGTGTGGCATCCTGAAAGAAGAAAGCAAGATGGGGCAGGGCCAGTTCAAGGGCTTGGCAGGTCCTCGGTGGGGAACCCAAGAGAAAGAGCACACACGTGGTCACAGGCTGAAGTCCGCAGGCCTTACCCATTGCGTGTTGCTAGGGAAGGTTCTCGGTAAATGTTTGTTGTGGATTTTGTAAGCAAGGTGTAGCCTTTCCAAAGAAATTTTTTACTTTTCTGCACTTCAGTCCACAATACAAAAACTGATTTGAGAGAAGATATTGTGGAAAAAAAATGTAGTTCCTCTTCTTCTGTCATTTCCTTTGGTTAAGTATATAAGCCTCAGGCTTTACATAGGCTTTCCACATTCCTGCATTTAAAGTAGCTTACATAATTATTTTCTTTAGTGCGCCTGAGAAAATCGTTGGCTGAACGTCTTTCCTTCATTACTCTGTGCCCAATAGTTCTTTCACATTTGTCTCTGAATGACAGTTCTTTGAGTTGGTGAGCTGTGGTGGTCCTTGGAAAATGATAGATGTATGGAGGCTGAGAGGAGGGACCTGGGGTCTTCCTTCTGATATGGGGGGTACCCTGTGCAGCCTCCCCAGCTCTGTCCTAAGTGGGCTGTCAATTCAACAACACTCAGCGGCAGGAGAACAGGTGGTGAGGGCCTGTGGGAGAAGAGACTCAGGACTCAGTGGTGCTTCTGGCAATTTGGAAGAGAAAAAAGAACACTTGGCTTTAGGGGAGGGAGAACAAATGCTTCAAGCCAAGACAATATTGAAAGTTGATAATACTAAGTCAACAGGGGGATCTCTCTGGCCAGGAGGCTGCTGGAGAATCCACAAGAGCCTCCAAATGGAGATGGCCAATTCCCAGGGGCCTGCGGTCCGCACTTACAGTAAAAACTAGGAATTTGGAGATTGGATTCTTATTTTGTCTTTGTTCATAATCTCCCTCCAGATGTTTGAATTGGCATTTGTTTTCCCTGAGTCTTATTTTCATATTCTTTTAAAAAGAAGTTTTAGCTTAAATTATTTCTTAGCTTCTTTGGCATTTATAAAATTCCATGATCCAGAAAAATTACCTTATTTTCACTTGACTCTCTTCACCAAAAAGCTTTTAATTTTTTCCCATTTTACAGACATGAAAGCTAAATAATAATAATAATACAAGAATAGGAGTCTTTCATTTACGTACTGTTATGCAACTTCAAAATACTGACCTCTCAGCAGCTTGTGTTATTTATTATTATGAAAAGAATGTGAACCTTTATTGTGCTGCTAAAACTTTGCTAGATATTATGAAAGTTGCAAAACTTTTCATTTCAAAAAACTGAAAATTTGTTTGGAAAGTGGATATTCCTCTGTCAACTGATAATGCAATCAGCAGTTCTACAATGTATCTGTTCATTAATTTATTTACTTAAGAAGTTTTTTTATTAGACACTTATTATGTTCCAGGCAATATTCTAGGTGAAAAGCAAACAGCAGAGGACATACTAGTAGCCTCCTAGTTCCAGGGAAATCACATTCTAATTAGGGAGGGTAGAGAGGCAGCGATGAGCCAAAGAACCATCACAGGATACCAGCTAGTAAAAAATACTGTAAAGGATGCGTACCATGGTGCACACCTGAAAACTCAGCAGCTCATGAGGCTGAGGCAAGAGAACTGTGAGTGAGTTCAAAGCCAGCCTCAGCAACCTAGCAAGGCCCTAAGCAACTCAGTGAGACCCTATCTCTAAATAAAAAAAT